AAATTATGCGTAAATACTGAAGTGAATTCTTTCTCTAGTGTCACCATGTGGAATTTTCTAAGAAATAAATAGCTGTTTTTTTGTCTTTAATCTGCTTTTAATGTTCTACAAATTCAACTCATCACCTTTTAAAATGTCATTGCCTTTTGTCGCTGACTAAAAGTGTCTATTGATCAAGTTCTCTGGGCGTCATGAAATCTTAATTTCCTGAAGGAATAAGGACACGCTATACTCTGAGCAAGCTTCGCACAATATCTCGGGTGACATCGCTACATCAGGGTCGGTCTCATTAACTTTTGACATCGGGTAGCAGCGAGCGTACAGGTCGAGGGTTAGCGATACATGCAGCGCTCGGATAACCTGCTCTAATGTTAATGTGCTCCTCAAGGGTTGTCTTTCTTACTCTCTTTGTCTCCTTAAGTGTTTTAATGTTGGTTAGTTTGTTGTATAAATGCTTGTTCTTAGTGTTGGGATGGCTGCTTTAAGTTTCAAGACACAAACACAACAAATTGTTCTTCTAAAGTTAATTAGTTAAAGGGTTGGTTGAACCAAAATGAAATGAAAGTCATCATTTACTCAATCTCTTGTCATTCTAAACCAGTAAGACTCTGTTCATCTTCTAAAAACAAATGAAGATACTTTTAAGGAAAGTTGAGAGCTTTCTCTCCCTCCTTTGAATATCCACGCAACCAAAACTCTGATACTTCAAAAAGTTGAGTAAGACTTTATAAGAGTAATCCATATGAATTGAGACGTTTAAGCAAGTTATTGCGCATCAAGCAAGTTTGAGCTTCTGTGTTTGCCATATTTCAGGGGTGTCCAACCCTGCTCCTGGCGATCGACTGTCCTGCAAAGTTCAGCTCCAACCTTAATCAAACACACCTGAAGCCACTAATTAGGGTCTTTAGGATCACTTAAAAATTAAAGGCAGGTGTCTTTGATTAGAGTTAGAGCTAAACTTGGCAGGACAGTCGATCGCCAGGAGCAGGGTTGGGCACCCCTGCCATATTTGATGTGTTCTTTATATGTGTGTTGATCAACGTTTTGAAGTGTCAAAGTTTTAGTGGAATTGACTTTAAATGGAATTACATTGTTTTATTAATGTCTTCATTTGTGTTTCAAAGATCTGTTGGAAACTTTTTCCTCATCGAAGCAGAGACCAGGAGACGTTGGGATATGTTTCATACAGAAGTCACTCTTTATTGAGGACTCAATCTTATGGGTTTGGAATATGACGTTTGGCGATATGACGTTCAGTAAATTACATCTGGTCTAAATGACATCAGGTAACTGCATTAAAAGCGTTAAAACTGTTTAAGAGCCAAATATACTGTATTAACACAACACAATAAACTAATAAAACTGTTTAAGAAACGGTGGGGAACAGCAGTTTAACAAAATATTTATTTTGCTTTAAAACAAGCTTCTGGGAACCCTGAGTAATTGCTATTGATTTAAAAATATTTGAATTCAAATGAACTCTTGTAGCAAACAATCGTGACATACTAAGAGGTTGTGTTTGCTCATTCAGTTGACTTACAGTTGTCATTTATTTTGACTTAAGCCCCGTTCACACCAAGAACGATAACTATAAAGATAACAATATTAGTGTCCACACCAGCGGACGATATCGTCTGTTTATTCTAAGCGCACGCTCATCTGCCGTTTTAAATTCTCAAGCTCGTTATATTGGGATGGATTCTGATTGGGTGTCGATGTTTTTATCGTTCGTCAGCTGGAAAAAAATAATTCTGAAAGTGATTCCAATTTTTATATAGGAATGATTCAATCTGAAATAGTTAACCAAATTAACATACAGTCCTGACAAAAAAAAAGTATATAGTATATTAGTATGTACTGTAGTATATTTATACTTTGGTAGGGTATGAAACCAATTTGTAGCATCTTAGATTTTTATGTAGTACAGGGCTCTAGACTGCGATTAAAATGGTCGCATTTGGGACCAAAAATATTAATTTGTGAGAAGTTTTTGCTGAGGTCGCCACTGGCGACTACAAATTTAGATGTTATTATAAATTTGCCTTTTTTCCTGTTTTGTGATCACATCTTTTATGTTGACGTAATAAACAGAGATGATGCGCATCAAAGTTTTCATGGAAAAAAGACTTCAAACTCTCCTCATCTCTGCTGAACGCCAGCGCTAATGCACACCTGCTAAACACAGCTCAGTTGTGCAGCACGTGAGAGACGTGCGAAGTGCAAAAAAGCAGTGTCTATTTTGTGCACAACTTGAACAAACTACAACAGGTAAAGCTGTCAGCTGTCTGGATATTGGCAATATCGTTAGCAATTCGATAATCGATACTATGGCTTCTTGTTATCAAACTCTATAGTCTATATTCTGTGTTATATTAATGCGTGAACTTCATTATTTGTAGTGCGCTTGCTGTCCAATATTCGCAATAAGCTTTGTGCTTTGTTACCTTTAATAAACAAAGTAGGTTATCAGCTTTAAAATTGTGCCAAATTCATAATGAAATTCAAACAATAAATACGGTTTTGGCACTCCTTAATGTAGCATGATCAACATCGCTTTAGCGCCTCAGTTTAAGCGGCACGTGAACTTAGGGCTGCACGATAAATCGAAATTAAATCAAAATCGCGATTAGGCAGAAGCTGCGATTGTCATGCTTATCTTTCAGTGAAGCACGGTTCTGTGATCAGCAGTAAATCTCCATCCAAAGGCCAGTGGGCGCTCTCGCGCTGAAACTCCAAATACGCCTTGCAGAAGAAACCCAGGAAATCCCTATAGCTGCAGCTGAATAAACAGAAGATTTAACTGCTTTTATTAATTCATCGTGACTAATACACCCACGACTACGACAATATATGGTTTATCTGAGTTTGTCTTATTATAATTTTCATTATAATAAAGTATATCTATAATGCAATGCTAATCGACATAGCCTTTAATCACTGCTTGGAATACTATGAAATATTGCGTGCCTTATTCTGTGTAAGAATCCACATCATCTCACAGAAGGATTTATTTCAAGCACTCGACTGACGTTATGAAGTGAGTTTGGAGTAAAAACATGTTATTAAATGTGGTATTTTCACGTATATTCAGATGGAGCAGCATTTACTACACAGAGCCGTAGTTCACTGACAAGCTACGCAAACAGCTTTCATAATTGTGAAATTCGCGATATCTAAGTTTTCATATTTCATTATATCGTCTGCTAATTGTTTTTTTTTTTGTTTTTTTGCACGTAGCTTGTCAGAGAACTATGGCTCTGTGTAGTAAATGCTGCTCCATCTGAAAGCACATGGTGGAGATTTACCACTAATCACAGAACCGGCTTTACTGATGAGCTGGCATTATGGTCCATTACATAGGCACAGATTCTGTGTAATAAACAATTCTTTGTGACTGTATATAGTTCTCAAGTTGGAAAAGACGTTTAGTCCCGACTTTAAGTGAACCTTATTTCCCAGGACATCTACAAGATGGATTAAAATGCTGATAAGACATAAAACAGATGAGACATAAACACATGACAGAATGATTGAAATGTAAGTGTTAAAAAAAATAAAACGTGTTTATTCTTTGGCACCTAAAAAATTATTTGGTGCCTAGTTTTGTTTCTTACAGAAGCCAAAGGCTCCTTAGTTAATTTTTTTTTTGTCTGGAGTCCTGTAGGAACTTTCTTGCTTTTTATATCAATGCATTGTTTTTTTTTTTCTTTGAGGCAATATTCCTAGACTTGCATTGGATTCCTGAGGCTGACTTTCTTTCTCCAATAAGTGTACTGTACAGCAAAGCTGCGTTTATATTCATTTGGTTATTGCCTTTGTATACAGGAAAAATACTTCTGTAGCCCATGGGGCTGCTGCTGCAGGAAAAATGTAAATGAACAGTTTAACAAGCGAAATCATCCAATCTCAGTTTTTGGAAAGAAGTGTACTTGTGATAAGAACAGGTCAGTGGTGGAGTCTGGCACGTGTTTTTGAGTCCCGTTTCAGAGACGGTTAAACCACAGGGGGCCAAAGCTTCATTCATCACATATCAAGTCTGTGCGAGTCCTGTTCCTGTCGCGTCACCGTGTCTGTTTCTCATCCCATGTTTCTTTTTCAGAACTACTGAAGGTCTGTGTGCTTGTCTGATTTATTGATAGCGTTCTTTATCTTGAGTGTGATGTATTTGAACGACAGTAGGTCATAGGCTCCTGTCCTGTGCTGCATGTTTAAATGTTGATATCTGATGTGAAATCCAACCCCTGAATGAAACGTCTCTTATAACGTTAATTGCCCTGTTCGTCTCATAGCACACCGCATGATGACCGGGGAAGAGATTATGCACTGTAACTAGAGCTGGGCGATGTAGCAGAAAATATTAGCAGATATTAGATATCGACGTAGAAATGTTAAAAATTACAGGAAACATTTTTAAAAAAAAATTTTTAGTGTAACAACTAAAATAGTGCAGTTAAAATAAACGAGGCATTGCTTTTCCACTAAATGAACGAGAAAACAATTTTGTACAGTTATAAAAACATTAATAAATGACAATTTATCTAAATTTACTACAATGTTTCAGTAAATATGGAAACATTTGACTAGCTATTTGAGTTTGGAATCCGTTAATTTACACAAACGATCTGAGCTGATTCATGGAAATGAGTCAAACTGACGTTTTCCATTGCGAATATATTGTGAATGTTCAATATATCGCCCAGCCCTATCTGTAACTTGAAATACATTTGTCAGTTTCTCTTCGGTTTTCTCATCTCACTGTTATGTGTGAATTTTCCATTAGAGTGGCTTCTTTTATTCGAGGTGGGCCGCATTGTTCGCCAGCTTCAGGCGACCTGCGCGAAACATCTCAAATAAAAGAAACGATGCCCTTCGATTATCCCGCCATGGTACTTCATCTTGGTATTTTTGAATGAATCATGCCCCATGTTTATCATTTTTTGTTTCTTTGTGTTTTTGTTTTCTTTCTTTTTCTTTTTGTTTTTTTTACTTTCTGTGCACAGCAATTGCTCTGAAATTTGTGGACTGAGTGCACCAAATACGATAGAACAGTGGGATACCTCAGGCCTCTACAGCTACCCTGACCAAACCAGGTGAATTTCCTCTCCTGACATTGTGCCACACTCACCCCACGAGACACAGGTGGGGCTGAACGAGCACAGGGGGCTCCAGGGGCCGTGAAGAAACACTGTAACGCGCTTCATTATAGTTGATGTAGACTTAATATCTTGAAGATAGAAGCACTTATTTTGTTGTAGAGTTTTAATTCTAAATGTTACAGTAGATTTAAAACAGATGGACACGTTTTCATACTTCCATACATTCACTTTGTTAAAGCAAGAAGTTTAAAACAGTGGTCCTCAACTGGTTTTATTGATTTTTATTTTGTATTTGGTGACCCAACTTATGACCAAATTTGCTGAATTTATGCAGAGATAAAAACTGTTTATATGAACATTCATATATACAATTTTTTTTTATATATATATATGCTGAGCCAAAGTTTGGGGTCAGTAAGGTTTTTTTTTTTTTCTTTTTTAACTAATGCTGTTATTCAGCAAGAATACATCAAATTGATCAAGTCATCATAAAGACATTTATAATGTTAAAAAGGATGTCTGTTTTTGATAAATGCTGTTCTTTTGAACTTAATCAAAATATATTGAAAAAAATCACTACAAAAAATGTAAAATATTAAGCAGAATAAAATATATGAATAAAATATAAAATAGAAAACTGGTATTTAAAGTTTTAATTTTAAAGATGTTATATATGTATTGTATATGTATATTTATGTATATAAAATATTATTAATTTTATGTATTTATACATTTTTTTGTTTTTTGATGATCAAATAAATGCAGAATTAGTGAGCATCATAAACTTTCATAAACATAAAAAAAAACAAACTTGCCGACTCCAAACTTTTGGCTGGTATCTTATATGCAACTTAGTTATGCATTTTGATTGCATGTATATTAAAATAAACATTTAAACATTTTCCACATTTTGAAACCTTTCATTGTTAAATGGTTAGTTGCATTTAGAATTATTATTTTTTTCTTTGTCCCGTGATGTATACCACACATTTTTGGGGTCACCAACACTTAGTTGAGAACCAGTGATTTAAAATATTAGTATTCTGTTATTGTAGCTTTCAGATGTTTTAATCGTAATAGATGAATTTTGCATCTCTGTTGTTGTTGATGACTTGCTGTCTAATCTCACCATCTCCCCTCTTCCCTCCATCCATGCATGTCTTTCTCTGCTCATTTGGCACGCTCCCTCTCTTCCATTTCTCTCGCCCTCTCTCTGTGGACGCTCGGGTCAGATCTCTGGACGGGCGTTTGCAAGTGTCTCACCGCAAAGGTCTGCCTCATGTCATCTACTGCCGCCTGTGGCGATGGCCCGACCTGCACAGCCATCACGAGCTGCGCGCCATCGAGACCTGCGAGTACGCCTTCAACCTCAAGAAGGATGAAGTCTGCGTCAACCCCTACCACTACCAGCGGGTGGAGACGCCAGGTATGGAAATTGGCTGCTGAATTGGCAAAAACGTTTTGGCAATATGTATTATTTGAATGGAAACGACTTTGCTCTTCCTATTGAGCATTCATTCAATCATCAGAACATTTGCTCCTGTAGTTCTTCCTGCTGTCCTCGTGCCAAGACACACGGAGATCCTGACTGAGCTGCCTCCTCTGGACGACTACACCAACTCCATACCTGAAAACACCAACTTCCCAACAGGGATCGAGCCTCCTAACAATTATATACCAGGTAGGAACACACACTTGTCCAGAAATTCAAGGCCAAAGACTGTATGCGTTATTGTGTAGTTCAAGAGTAATAACAAGTTGTTTGTGATTGCGGTGTGTTCAGAAACTCCTCCAACGGGATACATCAGTGAGGATGGGGAGGCCAGCGACCAGCAGATGAATCAAAGTATGGACACGGGTACGTTCCCACAGTGACATCACTACATGGGAATGACAGCCACGTGTGTTTGCACTTTAGACAGTAAAGTACAATCTGCTTTTACTGCAGTAGTTTGCTTTCTGAGCTCCAGCCAGACTTTCCCTAAATTATCTTCTGTGATTGAATACTTAAAGGGTTAGTTCACCCAAAAATGGAAATTCTGTAATTACTCACCATCATGTCGTTCCAAACCCGTAAGACCTTCGTTCATCGCCGGCTCCTGCATCAGCAACACCACATGCATGCATCGTGGTACTCTTGTGAAAGCACATCGAAGACTGGCACGGAAGAGAAGGATTGTTGACAAAGTCATTTTTGTTTTCTTTGCGCGCACAAAGTTTTCTTGTAGCTTCTAGGGTTGTGACAGTGAGGAAATTTCCCCACCGGTTAATCGACGTGTGACAACACCGGTAATACCGGTATCACTGCGGGGGCGTTCCCTCTTTTCCTTGCTTTCCTTCGCTTTTAAATAGCTTGTAAAAGCGGTGTGCCCATTTTACTTTCACTTTTGAATTAGCGGCAGTTCGGCGTCAATTGCTTGAATGCAACAACAAAATACAACGTCAAACTCACTTTAGCGTATATATAAAACAGAACTTTCATTAGCAAAACAAATAAAAATACACCATGCTATAGGGCAAGCTATGCCTAATATAAAATAACAAATAACTTGCATAAAGTTTAATAGGTATACAAAACTGGAAATAAGTAAACATGTATAATATATAACCAAATAAATAAGAAACGTAGAACGTTTATTAGCAAAACGAATGTCAAATAAAATAAATAAATGACAGTTTAAATAAAGTAAAAATCAGCAAACAATGTGGAACCAATTAAATAAGAAACAAATGTTTAAAAAAACTTCCAAAATCTTGTTAGATAAACGGCAAAAGTCAACAGGCTTTTCAAAATCCAAAATATTGCCAAACAGGCGCTTTTGCGTCTCGTTTCGAAACTAAACCATCTGCGATCGTCTTGTTTGTCTCACCTCACCGCACTCTTCTTGTCAGTCAGCTCGACTCACTCTCCTCACTGGAGAAATGAAATCTGATCTGTGTGATGCGACTGTCGTTCAGCACGCTGCATTGAGCAGCCGCGTTCAGTTTTTAATTGTAGTGTCTGTTCTTTTACTGAACTAAATGATTTTTATTACTATAAAAAAATCAAAACGACGGTGGGGGTCGGTGACGCGGTGGGCAAGTGACGTAACCGGTGTTGTGGCTTAACACCATCAGCACCGTCTATCGCGGCAAGCCTAGTAGCTTCATAACATTACGGTTGAACCACTGATATCACATGGACGATTTTAACGATGTATTTACTACCTTTCTGGGCCTTGAAAGTGTCAGTTGCGTTGTTGTCTATGGAGGGTCAGAAAGCTCTCGGATTTCATCAAAAAAAATATCTTGATTTGTTCTGAAGATGAGCGAATGAGGGTGAGTAATTAATGACAGAATTTTCATTTTTGGCTGAACTATCCCTTTAAGAGAATGAACTTCTCTAATCTCCCTCAGGGTGTCTGCGGGTCCTTAAAAAGTCATAAATAATGTTTTCCTAATAAAAGGCCTTAAAAAGTCTTATTGTCTTAAATTCAGATTCAATGGGTCTTAAATATTTTGGTCACATTACTGCTAAAATATCTTAAGTCACAGATCTAATGACTGTTGACAGATCAAACTTTTTTTTTTTCTTCCATTCACGTCATCAGACAGAATAGCAGTAGCAGAATACAGGTCGAACTACTTTCTGTTTATATAATGTTCTCAGTAATAATAATAATAATAATAAAAATATAGATCAAGCTACAGCTAGCTGACCAGCCTTCTAGCTAGTTTAAAAATTTTTTTTTTTTTACTTGCCCGACCGGACAAATAGCCTCATTAAAACTTTAGTGACAAATAATAACCAGCGAAGCATCAAAACGCGAGAATGATTCTTCTAATTTTATTACATTCAACGTAAACCGCGATTGATAATTGATTTCTGGTATTAAGTTCTCGCTGTTGAGGCTTAAGCGGTATTTATACTTTCGCCCGGCTCTGCTCCGCGAGCCTCTGCTGACTGCGCGCGCACCTTCCCAAACGGACAAGGCTTTTATACTTGTCGCGTTCGCCGTTGTACTATTCTTTGAAACAACAGGGGGCGAAGAGGAGTAATCGTCCTCTAAAACCTTCGGGAATCACCGGTGAGAAGAATGCATTTGCCGGTACAAGACTTCTCGCGTGATGAATGAGTTGATGAATTAAGAATTTCTTTATGTATAAACTGATGAATTAATAATTTCTTTATGTACAAACTGATTAAAATAATCTTAAGCTTTTGGGTTTATTTCGCATCAAACACAGGACAACTTTAAGCAAATAGTGTACTATATAAATAGTGTTCACATTAATATTTTTATGCAATAAAAATAAAACGTACTTCAATTAAAAAGCCTTGGACAAAATATACAAAAAAAACTAAGCATTGTTTTCAAAAAGCGTCAAAAAGCACCTGATGGAGTTTGAACTTCACATTAAACTGCTTAAAGACTGCACAGACATGCATGTTCGGCTAGAATCGCCCAGAACGTGTGCAATTTCGGAAGCGGAGCTGCGTGGAAAGTTGCAAAAAAATGTTGTGCATACCGCCACGTGATATGACGTCGCGCGCACTCAAAGCGAACTTCCGCTAACACCGCGATCATGTCATATTTACCCAAGCGAACTTGCGGACGCGTCGAGTATAAATCAGCCTTTATGCTGCCTGTCACTTTGTGAGAGACATCTAAAGAAACGAGCATAACAGCACACATAAAGAAACACACTGAGGTATAAATTCAAAATGATTAGTATAGTATAATATAGTTGAGTAACATACCATGACAAGGGGGCTATTTTGCTGAATATTCTCGATTGCAAATGTTACATTGATTTTAGTTCAAAGTAGTTAAGTAACGTTAGTCAAGTAGTTATTAATTTACTTACATTTTAGACACAATATTTACTGTTTTGCTCTTTCACCAACAAAAATAGTTCCAAACAATGATACACAGCAGAAGTACTGCACATTCTCCAAGTAACACTCGGCAGTGTTTTGTTCTTGAATAATTCGGCGTTTTGAACGAATTGGTTTAATGAATGACACAATGACTCATTTATTAAGTGACTTACCGCCACCTACTGGTAGTTTAGTGTGCATCCCCCCCCAACATTTCTTATTTGTATATTCATGGATCTATTTAAAACATTAATCTCATAACATTATTTATTCCAGTTGTAATTTTGCAGTGTAAATGATTTATTTTGACTGGTAACAGCCCTATAGGGTATATTGAATTTATTGATAAATTATTATAATTTGACATGAATGATGTTAAAAATAGGCTTTTGTAAAGGTAAATAAAATATGGAGATTTAAGTATGTAAAAGCTGATAGAACACTGACGAAAATATTGCTTCAGAATTAAGTGTTTACACCAACAAAACTCTTAGTGATGCAGTCCTTTTTGGAGATATTTTTATGGAATATTGTCTGCTGATATGAAGAGTTCACTGTATATTGTAGTAATAAATATCATTTATGACAGCGATGATATTTTGCTTTCTTTTTACATTAAACATTACATATTACATATATGTACAGTGGGTACGGAAAGTATTCAGACCCCCTTCAATTTTTCACTCTTTGTTATATTGCAGCCATTTGCTAAAATCATTTAAGTTAGTTTTTTTTCCTCATTAATGTACACACAGCACCCCATATTGACAGAAAAACACAGAATCGTTGACATTTTTGCAGATTTATTAAAAAAGAAAAACTGAAATATCACATGGTCCTAAGTATTCAGACCCTTTGCTCAGTATTTAGTAGAAGCACCCTTTTGATCTAATACAGCCATGAGTCTTTTTGGGAAAGATGCAACAAGTTTTTCACACCTGGATTTGGGGATCCTCTGCCATTCCTCCTTGCAGATCCTCTCCAGTTCTGTCAGGTTGGATGGTAAACGTTGGTGGACAGCCATTTTTAGGTCTCTCCAGAGATGCTCAATTGGGTTTAAGTCAGGGCTCTGGCTGGGCCATTCAAGAACAGTCACAGAGTTGTTGTGAAGCCACTCCTTCGTTATTTTAGCTGTGTGCTTAGGGTCATTGTCTTGTTGGAAGGTAAACATTCGGCCCAGTCTGAGGTCCTGAGCACACTGGAGAAGGTTTTCATCCAGGATATCCCTATACTTGGCCGCATTCATCTTTCCCTCAATTGCAACCAGTCGTCCTGTCCCTGCAACTGAAAAACACCCCCACAGCATGATACTGCCACCACCATGCTTCACTGTTGGGACAGTATTGGACAGGTGATGAGCAGTGCCTAGTTTTCTCCACACATACCGCTTAGAA